CCCCGTGTTTGTTTTTAAACCTGTACGAGGCTGTCAGAGAGGGGTTCTAGTCCAGCCTGCTCCTTGCTGGTGCTAGTTTTCTGCTTTCCACAAGGCTTGTTTACGTAAGAGAACGTTCAGAAATGTAACCCTCCCCCCACAGCAGCCTGAAATGGTACGGCCCATTCTGCCGCTTCGTTCTCCTGCGTGTGTAGACTTGCATGTGCCAGCCATAAGTCCTATGTTCGAGAGAGAGTGTGGTGGAAACCAATTTGCCCTTGGCTTCATCACCTACTGATCTGGTAGTCTTTTATTCCTAGGAACCAGGCACTTGTAACACCTGATCTCTTCGAATGCCAGCCAGATAGGGAGGGATGCAAGGCTGTATCGAAGGGCACTTTCACACACACTAAATAACGCACTTTCAATGCACTTTGCAACTGGATTTTACTGTGTGAAGTGGCAAACTCCACTGGCAAACAGTCGCTGAAGAGGATTGAGGCTGCATTATTTAGCATGTGTGAAAGCATCCTTGGTCTGTTGAGAAACCACAGTATTGGCTTCCTCTTCACAGCTCTGTTAGGTGTCTTTTTCTTTCTCTTGACAGAAAGATTGGAGCAGCAGGATAGCTGTGTTAGCCTGTTGAAGCAAGAACTAAATAGAAATCCAGTGGCACTTTAAAGACTAACCACATTTATTCCAGTATGAGCATTTGTGGGGCAGAGCTCACTTCTTCTGATATAATCGGAAGAAATAAACACTTCTACCTCATTTTTATAGAAAATTGTAGGAGAGAGAGGGGGGGAAAGGGAGGAGTTAAGCAGAGAGGCCTAATATAATAAATCAGGTGGGATTCTTTGTGTGGTGACTTGAACCATCTAGTCCAACTCACTATCTCTGAGAAAGGCAGTAGTGTTCTGGGAAGATATTCCAGAGGTATGAGATTTAGAGAATAACAGCTTCCAGGACTGAGGATTACGACTAGTCATACATCAATTCCATTATGGTTTCAAAAGAGTTTAAATCTGGGTCTCCTGTCTTGTTTCCCTGCCTTGAGAAAGAGGGATGTTAGAACTAACCTGCTGCACAGCCCACCGTCTGTATTAATTAGGGTGCCGGTGAGGCTCTGAAGTGGAGAAAGGTGGATGCTGGGTAACGCCAGCTGTGTGTATGGAGGGAAGGAGAGGCGTGCCTGACTCATGGGAAGTGATGCAATTTGGTACTTCCCTCCCCGTCACATCAGGTTTAGAAAGGGGAAAGTGATTCTTGTTACCTGAAGGAGGAATTTCCTGCACTTGCCTGTTTGTTGCCGTTGACTCAGGTGGAGACCCATAGTGAGCAGTAGAGGTCGTCTAGAGTGGTTGCCCAACCAGCGTTGATGACAGTAAAGATCCTCTAAAGCCATTTGCTTCCCTCCCCCTGCCCCATAAAAATGGTAAATGACTCATAAGTCTCACGGGGATTGCATTGGAAAGACTAAGGTGGTGGTGGTGGAAAGTGCTGTCGAGTCGCAGCTGATTTTTGGCAGCCCTGGAGGGTTTTCAAGGCAAGAGACATTCAGAGGTGGTTTGCCATTGCCTGCCACTATATTACGATCCTGGTATTCCTTGGCAAATAGAAGGGGAAGTCGTGGAAGTACTGACAGACTTCACGTCCCTGGGATCCCAGATCGCCGCAGACTGTGACAGCAGCCATGAAATTAAAAGACGCCTGCTCCTTGGGAGGAAAGCGATGGCGAACCTAGACAGCATGATAAAAAGTAGAGACATCTCCCTGCCAACAAAAGTCCGCATGGTCAAAGCAATGGGATTCCCAGTAGTCATGTATGGCTGCGAGAGTTGGACTATAAGGAAGGCCGAGTGTCGAAGAATAGATTCCTTTGAAATATGGTGCTGGAGAAGACTCTTGAGAGTCCCTTGGACTGCAAGGAGATCAAATCAGTCAATCCTAAAAGAACTCAACCCTGACTGTTCCCTGGAAGGCCAGATAATGAACCTGAAGCTCAAATACTTTGGCCTCCCAATGAGAAGGGAGCACTCCCTGGAGAAGAAGACCCTGATGCTGGGAAAGACTGAAGGTCAAAGAAGACGGGGGCGGCAAAGGATGAGATGGTTAGACAGTGTCACCGATGCAACGAACATGAAGTTGAGCCAACTTCAGAGGATGGCGGAAGACAGGAAGGCCTGGCGTGATGTGGTCCATGGGGTCGCGAAGAGTCGGACTCGACTGTGCAACTGAACAACAACAACAAATTCCTTGGAGGTCTCCCATTCATTTACTAGCCAGGAACGACTCTGCTTCGCTTCTGAGATCTGATGAGATCAGGCTAGCCTAGGCCATCCAGGTCAGGGCAAAAAGTTAGTTCGGGTAAAATTCACTTGTTTATTATATAGGAGGTCCCATTCTCCTTTGAAGGCGCTTCAGAGCAGATCTTGAAGGTTGGTTTTCTTTGTAGAAAAGTTCGTTCATGCAAGTAGCCGTCTGGTCAGGACTGGCTTCTCTGTAGCCAGTTGCACAAATGCTCACTGGCGGGTCTTACTGAATGCTGTGCCAGCTGGAGGGAGCAAAGGGGGGGGGGGGGCATGTGCGCGTCATAAAATGCATCATTTCCCACAAAACATGACCTCCTGCTTCGACGGTAGTCCTGGTGGCCCGAGAACCACATGTTGCTTTTGTAGGGCCGCAGACAAAGGGATACACATGTTTATTATTAATAATAATGTTTGCCTACTCGAAATGAAGGCAAGAACCAATCTTTTCCCAGATTTGAGGTTTTGGTGATGTTTTCTTAACTTTACACTTAAAAATAAATGATGCGGAAATGTGCAGTAAGAGGGAACAGAAGGGAATAAAATGATGTCAAAAAGGTAAAGAATTGGGAGTGGGGAATGGATAGAAGATTTTGGACTCTACTCTTTTCCCACTGAAAATGTTTGCTCCCAGAATTTCAGCTCAGCCCTTGTAATGTGTGAAAGAGGTGTAAGATACTCTGCGGTAGACCCAGTGTAGTGTCAGACTAGGCACTGGGAAACCCAGGCTCAAAATCCCCCATTCGTCCATGGAAGCAGGCTGGGTGACCTGGGGCCAGTCCCACGCGTCCATCCTTGCCTGAAACAACAGACTTACTGGGAAGATAAAATGGAGCGGAGGAGGACAATGTTGGAAGCCAGTTCGGGGCCTTGTTGGGGAGAAAAGTGGGGTATCAGTGAAGTAAATAAATAATAAATGGCTGGAGAAAGAATGGGGCATGGTCATCCAGTCCTTTTCAGTTGTCTGAAGGCTTTATTTTGTTTTGTCTGTGCTACTTCCAACGGGGACCCAAAGTAGCTTTATTGCATCCTCCTCCCCACAGCTGTTCTATCCCGTAACAACCCTGCAAAGTAGATTAGGCTGAGTGACTAGCCCGTGGTCACCCAGTGAGCTTCCATGGCAGGTTGGGGTTTCCAGGTCCTAGTCTAACGCTCTAACCACTATGCCACACTGTTTTGGATTATGGAAATCTTGGAATGGAAAGGATGAGTTTTCCAATACCTTACATTTGCTTTTCTTCTGAATACTGTTTTCCATCACTGTTGATTTCTACGGCCTTCAGGTGAACGCTTTGGGTTCCCTCTCTCCCAATCTCCGGGCGTGTCAAACGGCCCCTTATTTTTAAGCTTGCGTTAATCCCCGAGGTCATCTGCTTCCACTGACTGTTTTCAAACAGAATTGTTTTCAAATCAACACAGAGCTCTTGTTAAGAACTGGCTGCAGACCTTGGCTGGCTGTTCGCATTCTCTTTAAAAACCCCGAGAACTATCATGAAAGGCAGCAAACGCCGGTGGTCCCCAGAGCTGCCATGCAATGAAAGAAGCTGAAACTGTTAAACTTGAAAGGCCTTTTTGAAAATGCCAGGTGGGGACTGCAAAGGCAACCTGCTCTTCTGATCAGGTACATGTTCACCTGTGTTGTTCTTCCTTTACACAGATTGTGATATCATCGTCCATAAAAGCTGCATGGAGACCGTCCTAGCTTGTGGCAAGGCCAAACCGAAGGTAAGAATTCTCTTGTTCTTTGGTGTGCGAGGTGTGCAGCAGGCCAGAACACAAGACAAGGGTGTGTGGCGGAAGCCGTAGGGGTTTAACTGCACAAGATATGCCCTTGGAGATGAGATAAAAGAAACAAGATTGTGTATAATTTAATAGAGTGTAACCACAGTGCATTAGAATACTGGATTGTAAAGAGACTCCATATATATGATGTTCAGTTTGTTACCATTGAGGGTTTCAGTTAGAAAGATTTCAGTTAGAAAATAAGTTATATAATTGCAAGATCCTCAAATATATGGTAAAAACCTGAAAAGGAGAATTGTTTAAGTATGGCTGCGGTCACACGGAGCATTAGGCACGCTAGAGAGACGGAAGATAGGCGGATTTTCTGGGCGCGATCTCACCGCCGCATCTGGGAAGCGTAGAGCTCCTGTGCCAAACCCGAGGCTTCCCGCTGAAGATGCATGGTTAAAAACTAGTACCTTGGAGGTGCAGGATTGTGGTGTGCTCGGCACCTCCCCCCTACCACGGGACCTCCATGGGACCTCCACGGTACGTCTGCTGGCACAACTGCGCGTTATTTTGCCCCAGGGCAAACAGCCACGCTTCCCCCCCACATTTTCCTGCCCTTGTGCCCGCAGCCTATGTATGTATTGTATACATGTATAACTTTTGGCAAAATACATTAAGGTTTTATGCATCATGGTGAGTGTTCTTTTTTGGAGATGAGATGGCTTTCTCATGTTCTGCAAATCTCTGGTTCTTTGGTCGGTTGGTCATTATGTACTTGCAGCCATTGAGGCTCTTAATACAAAGATACTTCCACAGATTCTATACGGTGTGGATAAACAAGGTATCAAACTCCTGTGGAGGCCTTTTACATCTTCTGAAGAAAGATACTTACAAAAGTGCCTGTGTGAAGTTAGTGGATAGCAAATGTGTGTGGCTTGGCCTTGCACTTACAATGTTCCAAAATATGCGCTGTTATGAAGCACTGAGAGAGATCAAAAAGAGGGTACTCAAACTTGATAGGATTAACACAGAGTTTGAAACTCCACCCTCGTCCTTGGAATCTCCTCCACCCTGAAAGTCTCCCTCCATATTTAAAATATCTTGCTGTTTTCGAGCAATTAACGCACATTTATGGTAGGCACACTAAATGCTTTGCTTGCGGCTGAACTGAAAGGGCAATTTGTTAATACTCCATTCTCTGGACACCTCTGTTGTTGTGCCTCTGGCACGACAGAGACCACTGATAATGTTTTATTATTCTGTGACCAATGGTCTCCATTGCGAAAACATTGGATTCCCCCCATTTTGAGCAAGTTCCAACTTGCCATTGAACTGCAGGTAGTTTCCTCTCTGTTGGCTGACGCAAGTCCTGCAGTGGCCTGATCCGTGACCAAATTCTTGGCTATTATAAAATCTTTGAGACACTCTCCTGCTAATCATTGATGTGACAATCTCGTGATTTTACTAGTGGCATTTTCTTTTATCGGTCACTCTGTAATTGTATTGTCTGGTCCCAAGACCTCTGGTCAAAGGAGGTTGTGGTTAATAAAGGGAAGGTTCTAGCTTTCTTGGTTTTTGGAAAAGAGCTGGAAGCTGCTCGTGCAGTTTCCAAAGTGCCAGACCGCTCTAGTCCAGAATAGTTTCAGAGTGTTGGTCTGTGGTAGAACAGCTAGATTTGAGTCCAGAAGCACCTTTGAAACCCAACACGGTTTTCAGGGCAGGAGCTTTCGAGAGTCAGAGCCTCAGGGAGTTTTGCAGAAGTTTTTTTTTTTTATGTGAGTGGCAATGCAGTCAGTGCCTGTGAACATACTGGCAACTGGCTTCTTTAGAACATAAGAACATATGAGGCGCCAATGTTGGATCAGGCCAAAGGCCCATCCAGTCCAACACTCTGTGTCACACAGTGGCCAGAAATAGCAGGTGCCATCAGGAGGTCCACCAGTGGGGCCAGGACATTAGAAGCCCTCCCACTGCTGCCCCCCCCAGCACCAAGAAGACAGAGCATCACTTGCCCCAGAGCCCCTATCTATACCTTGTGGCTAATAGCCACTGATGGACCTGTGCTCCGTATGCTTATCCAATTCCCTCTTGAAGCCGTCCATGCTTGTAGCCGCCGCCACTTCCTGTGGCAGTGAATTCCATGTGTTAATCACTCTTTGGGTGAAGAAGTACTTCCTTTTATCCGTTCTAACCCGACCGCTCTGCAGTTTCATGGAGTGCCCACGAGTTCTTGTATTGTGAGAAAGGGAGAAAAGTACCTCTTTCTTTACCTGCTCTTTCCCATGCATAATCTTATAAACCTCGATCATGTCACCCCTCAGTCCATTCTGGAATGTTCATCGCAGTACTGTGCTAAAACTGTGCGTTCATACTGATTCCCCCGGTGGCTGATAAAATGCAGTCTCTTCAACATACCCAGACCATTTGGTAGAGCATCTGCTTGGTTTACAGAAGGTCCTTGGTTCAGCCCCTAGCATTTCCAGTTAAAAGGGATCAAGTAGGCGGGGATGTGTCAGAGACCCCCTACCTGATGCTCCGGAGAGCTGTTACCAGTCTGAGTAGATAATACTGACCTTGGTGGACCAGTGATCTGATTCACTAAATGGTAGCTTTATGCATGTTCATTTGTAATCCTGTTCGTGACAGCTCAGATGGACCCCATTTGTTCTTTGGAGAATGTTCAGGAGCGTTAGATACCTCTCAAAAGATACCTCCATATTTCACACTTCCTCTTGTTCAGGGGTCATTTCCTGCAGGAGCGCACAGGAGCGGAGCTCCGGCAGTAAAGAGCCCAGGGGGCGGGCACATGCAACAAGCCCCACCCCCTGCTCCCAGCAGCCCTCAGTCAGAGCAAGAAGCAGCCTGGTAAGCTGCAGAGCCCCCCTGGCCCAAAACAGTCCAGTGGCACCTTTAAGACCAAGTTTTATTCAGGTACAAGCTCTCCCTCCTCTGCGAGGACAGATCTGCACGTTCCCCCCACCCCCAATAGCTATCAATCCAAAACAGTCCAGTGGAGCCTGAGCGGTGGGTGTTGCCTTCTGACACACTTCTAGTGATGTCAGGGGGTGTGGCATATGCAAGTAAGTTATGCTAATGAGCTCCTGCACCTCTTTTTCTACAAAATGACCCCTGCTTGTTATTGAAACCCTATGGCTTCTATGCGCATGGCTACATACAGTCCTAGCTTCCTTTGTGCAACACTATTTGAGGCCTGTGCCTTGGGTTGAACATGCCTTGATTCACGTTCAGAACTCCAGTCTTCTGTAATTTCACTTTATACGCTTGGGACTCACCCTGAAGCGTCTGTCTGGCCAGTGGCTGCTGTTGGAATGCTGGCCTGGACGGGACTCCGGTATGAAGCGGCACGGCACTCCTGACAGACGATAGCAAAGTAGATTGCTCGTTGTTGTTGTTGTTCTTAAGGGATGAGGGAAGAACTTGCTCATTTAAAAGGTCAAAATCTTCTTCCCTAAGAACACCTAGCAAACACTTCTGATGTTTTTCATTTTGTGGGAGATTTTGGTGTCGGGGCACTCTATAACAATGTCTCCCATGTGTTCTGAAGTGACAAATCTGCAAATTTGTGCAGAGGACTACACTGCAGGGCTCCCTGAATATCTATAATGGCTCTTCCTCTTAAGCAAGGCTGCTAGGATTGGGCTGAAAATACCTTCGGGGAGCCTGTGTGTTTGCATGGAGGGACAATCTCAAGGGTTGTGTTGCTGAACAGCTGTGGTGTAGCGATCTGAATGTCAGACCGGCACTGAGGAGACCTGGCTTCGCATCCACTCTTGGACATAAATAAAGCTTGGGCCAGTTGCTCCTTCTAACCTACCTCAGGGGGTTCTTGCGAGGGTAAAATAGCGGATAATGGTGTCTGGTGCTTTGAGCTCCTTGGAGGAAGGGCAGAATCTATCTGTCTGCTACATTATCTGGTGAAGAAGGCCCAGCAGAGGCTCTTTTTTCTCAGATTTTTAAAGAAAAATAACTTGAGTTATCATCACAGCCCAGAAGATTATTGGCTGCCCTCTCCCGTTCCTGGAGGAATTGTATAGTTCTCGATGCTTGAAAAAAGCATTCTGCAGGATTTGTCACACCCTGAACACTCCCTGTTTGAACTGCTGCCTTCGGGTAGAAGATATAGGACAATTAAAACAAGGACAAACAGATTAAAAAATAGTTTTTATTCGAGAGCTATTATTGCTTTAAATGCTGTATGAATTGGAATTTGGGTGACATTGGTGGTTTAAGTTGCAATGTGAACCTTAAGGGAGTTATGGGATGGTTGTGAATGGTTGTGTGAGTGTATATGAGTATGGGTAGATCACTGAATGATTGCACCTTTAATTTCGTTGTACTATATACAATGACACTAAAGTATATTATTGTTGTTGTTGTTGTTGTTGTTATTATCATTATCATCATCATTATTATTATTATTATTATTATTTTAAAAATCAGCCCCTTTCTTCAAGAGCTCAAAGTGGCATTCATGGTTCTCCCTTCCTCCTTTTACCCTCACAACAACCCTGTGAGGTAGGCTTGGCTGAGAGTGAGTGACTGGCCGGAGGACATCTGGTGATCAGCATATGGCAGAGTGGGAGTTTGAAAGTGGGTCATTCAGCTCCTGGTCCAGCTCCATACCACACTGGAATTAAAAAAAAAAACAACCCATAAGGGGTGGACACATGTTTCAGTAATTCATTTCTAATTCGCGGCAGAAACTCACCTGGTCTTTTTCTTTCATCTTCAGAAAGGTGGCCTTCAGACGCACGATACATCCTCGTTACCTACAGTAATTATGAGAAATAAGAGTGAGTACCGTTTTCTTCCCCTTCCCTCCCCCACCGCAGCTTCCCAAAATCTGGCAATTCTGTTCTTCGCCAAGGCAGTCTGTGGTCATTGTGGCACCCGTGGGAGTCAGGATGCCAGCTTGGGCCGCTTGCAGAGTGGGTGCCCGTAGCAGGCTGGGAGGAGGTTGCCATTCCACGTCCACTGGGGCTGAACAGAAAACTCCAGAGGCGAGGTGCTTGAACAACTCATACTTTATTGTGCAGTACCAAAAAATTGTCCCATCCTTCACCAGCCCGGGGGTGTTCATTCCACTTCCCTTGCAACTGGGGCAGCTTCCTCACTTGCCTCCTCAGACACTCTCCCCCAACTCTGTTCTAACACAGCCTTTAGAGCCCTTCCCAGTACCTGGACCTGCTTCCTTGTTCCGTTCTGTGGCTGCCTGGCCCTAATTGGGCTAGTCTCACACAAGCTTAGCAGCACCTCCTCACCCCAATGGCTGCAGGCTGCCCTTCTCACAACAGTAGCCCAGGAACACACCTGGCCCACCAGCCTGTCTGCAACATCTGGCTGCCGGCCCTGGGACCCTCTGAGGCAGTAGCCCCTTCCCGTATGGGATGGAGTCCATCACAGTCGTGATCTGGTACTCTGAGTACTTTCAGTCCGTGAGCAAAAGATACTGATTTTCTGAGACTGCCTCTGCTTATCCTGCCCTTTGTTGCAACAGAACTATTCCTGTTCTGAAATCTCCCTGGGTCTTTGGCTATCCTTAAAAGAGGTAGTAGAGCCACTGGAAAATAAAGCCAGGTTTTCAGATTGAGTCCCGATGGCAACCATGGCACAGATATCAGCTCTAGACTACAGCTACCTTTTTCATATGCGTGACCATTCTTGGAACGTGGGACATGGTGGCAGTAAATGCTTGAAGAACGTGGGACATGGTGGCAGTAAATGCTTGAAGAAGACATTCCATCCTAACGTCACGACTTCTTAGCATCAGTCAAGGAGGCCCTCTCGGCCTGGGGCAGGGAGCCTGCTTCACAGACAGAAGGTCCCAGGTTGAGTCCTTGGCGTCTCCAGACTTTAAAAACAACCACCACCACCACCATACATCTTTAATGGAGAAAGGAACAGGAGCGTCTTTCCTTGGGCTGGATAGAAATGTCTACCTTACAGGTGGACTGTGCACATTTTATTTCATAGAGGGCTGTTTGGTGTTGTGAACTGTCTTGTGTTGTGAACTGCCTGCTTTCAGAAGCTACTAAACAGCTGTCGATAAACTCTGCAAAGATCCCCTCTGCTATCCTTGAGGGGAGATATAAGCAAATTCCTTATTCAGTCAGGTTCTGTGGATGTAATAGAAGAGAAATAGAAACTGTTGAGCACATACTCTTACACTGTCAATTGTGAAATGACATTCGAGTGGAATTTATAGAAGCCCCCCTTAGGTTGGTAGCAGGCCAATCGGATAGAATCAAGGTACAATTTCTCCTTGCTTCACGAGATCCGGAGATCATTGAACTGACCGCTAAGTTTCCCCATGGTTTTATAAAATGGAAGAGTGACCCTGATCATATTAATGATTCTTAATTTATAAGTCTAAAAACTTAAGTTTAAAAGTTTAGAATGCCTATTTATGATTCAGGCATCTTTGGTATGGTCAAATCTAGCTTGTGACAACTTGAGTTAGGCCTGACATAGCCACGACTATCTATTCTATAATTTATTTTGAATTGTATTATTGGGAAATGCTTCTAATATTGTATGCCAATAAAAGGTATTTGAATTTGGATTTGAAACATATTTGTGTAAACTCTGCAAAGAGAGTTCTGTTTTCTTGCTGCATCTGTACATAATGAACATTGTATGTGTGTGTGGTGGGGGGGTGATGAAATTCCAGATCCTAAAGCCCCAAAGGCTTTGCTGGAGTGTTCATCTGTCCATGTTCCCCTTGTAGGTTCCCAGCCAAAGGAGAGACCTCGGTCTGCCATTCTGGCCCCGGAGGAGACCGCTGCTCCCCCCGCCTTCAACAGCAGGAGATCCCAGCAGAACATGTCACTTTCCAAAAGTGTCTCCATTCAGAACATCGCTGGGTGAGGCTTTATGTTCCACACAAAAACGTGCACCGTCAAAGGTGGTGGGGATCCCACTATGGGAGACCTCCTGCCAGCAGCCCTCTCTTTGCCTGTCACCGCTCTGAGCAGAGGCCAGAGAAACAAACACACAAAAACGCCCGAGAGTTTCCAGTGATTCCTAAAGCCTGCACTGTTGTTACTTCCAGGTTTTTCCCGGAAGTGACGTGGCGTTGCGCGGGATGTCATGTCCTCGCCCCTGAACCTTCTGCCAGTTGCTAGGCCCATCCAGGCAACCCTACAGCACAATTCATGGGGCCCTTAGCAGAGTGTTTATAGAGCGCATGCTTTGCACAGAGCTTTAGTCCCAAGTGTGTCCTGTTAAAGGATTTTGGGTAGCAGAGCAGGAGGCAGTGAAGATGCTCTTTGCTGGACCAGGCAGAGCGACCTGGAGCTACAGAAGCATATTTTATGCCTGCATCTCTCTTTGTAAACACATGCACAGTGCTCCATGTTTTGCACAGAGATGTCAAGACAAGGTTAGGGTATTTGAGTTGTAGTTTGCAGTTTCTTTATTTGCTGCTGCTTGGAATTTCCAGTCTCAGTTCTGTCCAACAGCAGTCTGGGAGAAAGGTGTATGGAGGCACAGGGGTTTTGGAGGAGTAAGGCAATGGGCAGGGTTAAGCATCCCTTTGTATAGTTGTTTCTCCTCTGTGAGTTGTGCCCCCTTCCACTGCAGCAATTTCTTTAGTTTATTTATACCTAAGTAAGTGCGGTCAAGGTGCAACTGACTTATGGTGACCCAGCAAGGGGCTTTCAAGTCAAGTGAGAAGCAGAGGTGGTTGGCCATGGCCTTCCTCTGCAGAGTCTTCCTTGGTGGTCTCCCATCCAAGACTTATGGTGACCCAGCAAGGGGCTTTCAAGTCAAGTGAGAAGCAGAGGTGGTTGGCCATGGCCTGCCTCTGCAGAGTCTTCCTTGGTTGTCTCCCATCCAAAACTTAAGGTGACCCAGCAAGGGGCTTTCAAGTCAAGTGAGAAGCAGAGGTGGTTGGCCATGGCCTTGCTCTGCAGAGTCTTCCTTGAAGTCTCCCATCCAAGTACTGACCCTGCTTAGCTCCTGAGAACTAACAAGAGTGGGTTATACCATGCCACCTTCGCTCAGTTTATTTATATCTAGTAATTATTGTTATGCTCCACTTCTCAGTGTATTTATGAGGCAGCATCCAAAGTTAAATTATTTTTAAGAAGATTACATAATACACAATACCACGGACTAGCAACCACACTAAGTAGTGTTTAGCAGAAGAACTTTAGCAAAGAGCCAGTTTCCCAGACCCAGGTGTCTGTGGAATGTGTTGCTTCACTCTGAAATTCTTAATCTCCCCCCCACCCCACTTTGTCCTCCAGAGTTGGAAATGATGAAACCGTACTACACACTTGGAAGTTTCTTTCTCAGTCTACAGACTCCTTGAATAAGATCAGCCGAGTGAATGAATCCATGGAGTCATTAACAGATGAAGGTAAGTGCTAGGGAGACAAAGAGGCTGAAGAAATGATAAATGGTAGGCAGACGAATGAGCTTTTGAAAGCTTCCACGTGCAGAACGTATGGGGTGTCAACAATGATTACATCCAAAGAAGGAATTTGAGTGCAATCTCTGTGCCCCCCCCCCAAACTAAACAAAACCCTGATACTCCCATTTTTAAGTGGCAGACTTCAGAAGTCTGTCCAGAATATACAGCCGTCACAAAGCCTCTCACTACCTTCTCCATTCTTCAAGAATGGAGTTGTCCCACCCACAAGCCAACCTACCTTTAGGTGCCCTGCTGTCTTCAGCTTTCCCTCCTCCCCTCCCCTGGCAGGCTTCTTCTTGGGAAAAGTCCAGCCAAGTGACACTGTAATCTGCCCTTTGAGACAAATGTACAAGTGCTGATACAGGACATGTATGTTTTCGCCAATGGGGCAAAATCACAGTCTCACATGGCCATTTGGGATCAGGAAAAGAATGTGGGGAGGGAAGGCTTAAACCACCCTTCCCCCTGTGCTGTGGTTCTAAGGCCTTATTTAGAGTCTGGCAAACCTACACCTTGAAAGAAAGAAATGCTACACAGGAAAGACACAATAATTCATCTGCTTTGCCCTGGGGCTTGATCCTGTAGATGTTTCTGATGCTGCAGCAGAGCCTTGACTGTGACATTCTATTTCATGCATCCAGGGAGTAACACGTTCCCTACAAAATTTGCCACCTACAAACCGGCTGGAACAAAGTGCGTAAATAGTTCGTCATAGAGTGATAGGAACCAAGGGTGTGTGTGTGGTCTCCTTGTGTGTGGTCTAGTGGCTGAGCTGACTGGGATGAGAGTAAATGTAATATGACCACAGACTAAGTTTATATTGTTTCAAAACTGCCTTGTTGAAATGGCTGGCCTTCAGCAATGCGGGCTTCGCATTGCTGGGGGAAATGCACACGCTGTGCCATTACAAAAGCTGCCGTTTGTCATTTTGTAAAAAATAAAAAAAAAATAAAACTTAATACATATGGTGAAAACATATTGACTAATTACTTGCCATTTCCAAAATTTGAAAGCACTCCAAAGTTACACTAAACACAGCTTGAAATAGGGTAAGGAAAACTTCTCTCTCTCTCTCGCTCTCTCTTGAGAAGGTAGTGTGAGGTGCAACAGCATAAGCTTGCCATCCCAAAATCCCATGGCACCCGCCTGCCTTCCCCTCCCTCTGGCAGCTAATCCATACAACACCACTTAATAATCATGTAATGCACCACTTTATGGAGGTTTTTAATGGGTATTAGAGCACTGCTCTGTCTATGGCAAAGAGTTTGGAGATGCTACCTGGTTCCCTGTGTTTTCTCCTGCCCTGCAATAAGCCCTGGAAAAATGTACACTTGCAAGGCTATTTCCGTTCTGGTGGACGGGAGAGATGCAGCATCTCAAGTCACATTCCATTCATGCTGTAGTCTCTTAGGAGAATGTTCAGTGCATTCTGGGACATCATCATTTTCCGGTCACACGGGCCGGAAAATGTGGCGGGGAAGCGTGGCTGTTTGCCCTGGAGCAAAATAACGTGCGGCCGCCCGATCACACGTCCCCTCGAGGTCCCGTGGTTAGGGGGGAGGTGGCAATCACACAACTATTCTGCAGCGCGGCAAAGAAGCGGCGCGGCGCAATCACACTAGCAATTGCTAGGCGCCGCTTCCGTGGGAAACGGGATGTTTTTTAAACTGCCGTTTGCGCATGCGCATGATCATTTGTACGCATCCCGTGATGACAAAAAAACCCCAACCCTAGCCGGTTTGTGACAGGACTAGGACGCTCGACCTCTGTGTCTGATTTGTTGGTCCTCCAGGGCAACCAGTTGGCCACTGCGGAAAACGGGATGCTCGATCATTGGTCTGGGGGTGGACTAGGAAGAAAAGATGGCTCCAGAGTAAGCCAGGCTGAGTGCTTGGCTTTAGGGGCGCTCAGCTCAGCAGCACCAGCAATGGGCACTGGCTCACCCATTGCCTTCTCCTACGAATTTGTGGCAGTGTGGGAGGAGGTGAGCTGACACCAACCACAAGCAATGTTCCCTCTAAGCTGTGAAGTCTTGTGAGCAAAAAATCTACTTTGTGAGCTAGTGGCATTAAAGTTGTGAGCAAGCAATTTGGCTACTGCATAAATTAATTTGCTCTGGAGCCATCCTTCCTGAGCTGAGACAAAGATGTATGAGCTGGAGGCTAAAAAACTGTGAGCTAGCTCACTCTAACTCAGCTTAGAGGGAACACCGATCACAAGTGATACTGAATGGGCTAAGCAAAGTGGCGCAGGTCAGTGGCAGAGTTGCTGGGCCTTGAGCCCACTGCTGCTTGAGTCCGGGGCTCGAGTCTGCCTGCTCCTGGCTGCCTGTGGCCCACAAGTGCCACGGCCCATCAGAACTTTCCCCTGACCTTTAAATGGCCGAAGTACTCAGAGCCGGCAGGGCACTCATTCGGTTCTAGTCAACTCCGCTTCTGAAGTGGTCATTTTTATCTGCCATTCCTTAGAAGACTACGGGAACACGGCGGCAAATATTATCCTCAGCATCCTGAATGCCAAAGTAAATCGTGAGCCTTTCCAGATCAATACTTTCCACGGATCCCATTGCTTGCCAACGACAGATAACAAAGAACAAATCGCTGCTACGGTTCCCTTTCTTGTCCCCCCGTCCTCCCATTTTGGCTCGCTTCGTTTCTTGCTTTGTTCACTCCCCCTGTAAAATAACAGGAATCCACTGTCTGGTTATAAAAGGAAACTGTGCTGCGTAAAGTGCATGTTATCCCAATGAGTCGCCTTGTAGAGGATGCCGAGCTTGGTATTCCTCTCTCTCACATAAAAGAAGCTTGTTTGGCTATCACTGCAAGTTTACCAGCAGGGAGCAGCATGTGTGAATGGAAGAGCAGATCTGCAATGGTTGCCCAGTAATGTTGTTAGACAATTGAGCCCGCTCGGAAATTCTGGCACTTTCCTGAATGTTGGCTTCTTGTAGTTGTTCTTCAATCAAAACATACATGCTTTGCCCTCCTCCATATGTAAACCCACGAGCCCAAGCCAGCCACACAACCGGCTCTCATTGCCCAAGATCGTTTCCTCTCCTGCCTTTCATATCATTGAACTGAAACCATCACTCCTGTCAAAAAGTCAGACCTGCAGATGAAAGGCCAGTGCATTAAGACAGCACATAATTGTCAGTCTCCGAGCTTCTGACATTAATCGTTTTACTCCGAGAAAGACAGTGGAGCGATTTTCAATTCCGCTTGTCTGTCCCCCCCCCCCGCACCCCGCCCTCCGCGTTCCATTTCTTTTAAACACGTTGCCAACGTGCCGCAGTTAGCCTGGATTAAACTAAAAAAAAAATGAATGAAATACTACTAATAATAACTCATGGTTTGCTAATTAAAAGTAATATGTTTTCCCATTTTTTGGCAATTTGATAACATAAAACACTTAGTTGGGGGGCCACAGGGGGAAACAAGCGAAGATGGATAAAAAATGTTTTGTGTTCACCCAAGCAAGACTATGTTAATGCACATTATCCCATTAATGCACATCAACATCGGGAATAAGCGTACCAATGCAAGCAAGAAGCATACACTTATCATCATTTGATAACATGTTTAATGACAGATTGACGGTTGATTTGCAAATGTGAACTGGCATCAATGTTGCTAACTTCAGCTTCTGCCGCCTCCTCTGCTATGCCAGCATATTTATGTGCATAATTTGATTTTGCAGCCGCACTGTTAGTACATTTTTAATATTAACTATGCAAGAACAGACAGCCGAACTTAAGTTGCACTGATGGTTTGAGTTCATTAGATTGAGAAAGATGGGGGGCCAACGATGACAAAGATGGAGATGGCAGGGAGACATCAAAGAGGCAAACACTTAAACGCGCTCCAGCGCGAACACACCAAAACGAACACATTGCACACTGTCAGCCGCAAGCGGGGCCTTGCCATACAAGGGCGGGAGGGGGAATTATATATACATAAATATATATTACATATATATAATGCTGGGGGCATATTGACAGCAGCTCGAAAAGAGCAAACTCTTGGCCTCACAGCAATAAGAGATCTGGTTTTTTTCATGGAGGGTTTGTCACGGCCACTGGAATCAGGAAGCCATCCTGTTTCTCCCCCCTCCCCCCGGTTTACATTGACGATTACAGTGGGATTCTTGTTTTGATTTAATTGGGCTTAGATTGGAGTCACTCTGCATAGGATTGCCTTTTTGCTTCCTGTTTTGTGCCTGGTTTGCACAGGCACAATCTTCAATCTATGGCTTTAGGCTTCCTTTACTAGAGACTTTTAAAAAAATGCTGCCACTGCCCTGCTGACCTCTGTAAAGCGCGTCCGACTGCTGCCATTTTTACGCTCTTATTAGCAGCCCATTTGGGAAGACGCATTTGCGGACGTCTTTCATCTCCCTCTTTTTTTTTAAATGTTTGGATTCTGTACACATGAGCCGATAACCAGTGCCAAAGGAAAAAAATATATTACAATTTATCAAGGAAAAATTACCAATCAAATTCAGATGCAGCGGAAGACTGGAACGTCGCTGCAGCAGTCTCTAGTTTTTCGAAAAGCCAATAGCCCTTTCGGTCAAACAAGCCACCAACCATTTCCAATTAGTTGATTTACCATCTTTAAGATATGGCAGCTGAGAAGACGTCCTTAGACAAAGCGCAACTGCCAGGTGAAAGTGGATGGAAAAGAAGATGTAACAAGCAGCTTCAAGTAGACAAGGAAAATGGTTGCTGAATAAGGGGGACGGAATTTTGCGAGTTTTCAAACCCCTGATTACCTTTGATGCCCACTGGCTGGCATTAAACATGTAACTAAGCCGAACCTACCTCACAGGGTTGTTGTGAGGATGTTAACACCACTATGAACTCTGTACAGACCGGCCTGGATATGAACATAAGGCAGAAGTCAAAACTGACTTTGAACAATACTAGTTGGGTTGCCAATCTCTAGGTGGGACCTGGAGATCTCCCAGAATGGCAACTGATCCCCAGACTACAGAGATGTTCCTCTGGAGAAAATGGCTGCTTTGGAGGGTGGACTGTATGGTATTATACTCCACTGATGTCCATTCCCCTTCCAAAACCCCACCCTCCCCAGGATCTACCCCCAACTTCCCAGGAATTTCTTAAGCTGGAGTTTGCAACGCTAAATGCTAGAGATATTTTTTTTCTTTACTGCTAAAAAAAATCTGCTTTGAGGTGAGTAAGTAAAGGTTTCCCTTGCTTGAAAGCCAGTTGAATCCGACTCTAGGGGGTACTGCTCATCTCTGTTTTCAAGCCGAAGAGCCAGCGCTGTCAGAAGATGTTTCTGTGGTCATGTGGCCAGCATGACTAAATGCTGAGGCGCATGGAACACTGTTATCTTCCCACCGAAGAGGTATCACACCTGTGATGGGGGACTCACCTCTGAAGGTGTTGTGGGGCCCAATTCTTGCTGCCGTTGGGTTTACGTGTCCTCAGATCACATGGAAAAATAGTGCAGGAGGAAAAGCTGAAACCTCCTCCTCCACCCTTGCTGAGCTCTGTAGCTGAATTGGGCCCCACAACACCTTTAGAGGTGAGTCCCCCATCACAGGTGTGACAATAAGTCTGGTCAGGGATCCTTGTTCCAATTTGTGTCAG